TTTATCTATTTCTACAAGAAATGTCGTTGGGATTTTGATTGGCATTGCATTGAACCTATAGAGAACTTTTGGTAATATCGCCATTTTGTCAGAGATTTTTATACACGTGATTTATCAAGGGAAAGACAGAGATCTCAGGAGAAAGACAGTAGGACAGGGTTAGGGAAGGAGCTAAGCAAGGAAATAGCCTTGGCTGCAGTTGGCTCCAGCCTGATCTCTCCAGCAGTTCTAGGGCATGAATTGTACTACAGCTCTGACCTACCCTCAAGGCCTGGGCTGACCTTTGTATTCCCTACTCAATCAGTCAAAAAGGAACAGAATGTCCCCAAGAAAGAAGGCAAGGTTGAGGGAGAACCTCCCTGGGAAGGGATGCCTAGGAGTAAAAAGCTCCTGGCCAAAGAAGCAACTATGAGTTGTTATATGCCAACAAAGACAGCAGGTGGGGACAGGCATTGTTGTAAAGAGAATATGGAAAGGGCACCACTAGTCCATTTCAGTTATCAAGTTAGGATCTCTGATTAGATTGCCCTACTCCATCATTATCAACAGGAAATAGATTTTAAGTGTTTTCCTAGATTCCTTCCTTGTAGCTCCTGAGATCTAGGAAAGCCACATACCTCTGTCAACTCTGTGGATACCATTTGCACCATGTTAGAGTTGTCTTCTAAGAAACCAATCAGGATAAACTTAAAGACTTCATTTTACCAATTCTGCCTATAACAGCAGGAGCTTACTTAAAGAGTAGACTAGTGGAGAGAAATGACATTATAACTAGGATAATTAACCAGGGAAACACTTTTCTGCATTCCAGTTACCTAATTTGAAACTGAGAAGATTGGATTCAACTGCCTTTTTTTTTTTTTTTTTTTTTTTTGTACTGGGGATTGAACCCAGGGGTACTTATGAAATAGATATGGCAAGACAAAAATCTGTCAAAAACAAAGATGGGGTCTAAGGCCTCAAACTTCTGGCCATCCCAACCACTCCAATTCCTGTGGAGGCAAGTAGATGGGAACTTGTTTTCTTGACACCTTTTGGCTCTAAAATGGTTTGGGCAAATGTTCAACATTGATGCCCGGTATGTCTGGCAAAGAAAAACATGCTTCTGTCTAAAGTGTGAGTGAGTGTATGTGTCAATGATAGAATAAAAATATTTTTAAATTTAAATCTTATAACCAGATGGTGAAGCTTACAAAATTTTTTTTTACAAAAATAGCAGTCTTCTAAAAGAACAGAACCCAACTGTATCAATAATAACCATGTTTCCCTTAGGATCTCACAGCTGAAGTTCCACAACACAGCAGCAGGCCCTCTGGGCTACAGAGAAAATAAATGTGGAGGGGAGAGGACCATCAAAACTGCCTTTGCCAGCAGGGAAAATCACAGCTCTCCCCAGAGTGCTGCCCAGAAGCATCTGTCTGTTCCAAGTCCTTTCCTTAGGTCCCAGGGATTCACCCTGTTGCCAGATCTGTCCAGGATTACAGAATCCTTTCAATTTAAATCTCTTATAGCTACTAGGTCCCAGGAGAAATGAAAATGACACCATTGTGCTGCTCCTTTAATTCATTTGAAATTTTAAATCATTTGGATAGTCTCCATTCAACTGGTTAAATTCTGATTTTATTTTGAGCTCAGCAGAGACCAAGGTCTAAGAGCTGGAGGGCAGCTTGGAGGGTGTAACTAGGAGAACACTCACTTGCTTGGATACAGAGTCGCATGAGCGCATGAAGAGGATATGGTCCTATCGTCTCAATACTTGCACCAATGGAGATGAGCCACTGGACTAACTTGGGCACCTGTTCCATTTTCTCATAAAGTCCAATGAAGACATATTTCTGGAAAACATTCAGACACACACACAGAGGAATAATCATAAGAATTATGGAAATTAAATACAACTATATTGTTATGGTTTGGATTTGGAATGTCCAACAAAGGCTCATGTGCCAAAAAGCTTGGTCCCCAGATGGTGGCACTACAAAGATGTGGTGGAAACTTCAGGAGGTAGAGCCTAGTTGAAGAAGCAGATCATAAGGGGTATGCCTTTGAAGGAGATATTAGGACTGGGGCCCCGTCCCCTTTCTCTCTGCTTTTCAGCCACCATGAGGAGGTAAGAACATGCTCCCCACCATGATGTTCTACCTTACCACAGGTCCTAAAGCAGTACTGCCAGCTGACCATGGACTGAAACCATGAGCCAAAATAAATCTTTCCTCCTTTTAAATTGTTAATCTCAGGTATTTTGTCACAGCAACATAAAGCTAACACAAAAATATGTAATTTAAAATTCCTTTGCCCATAAAGTTTGGAATTAATAAAACCTGGATTTGCTGTAGTCCAAGTTTAAGATTATTATAAATAACAAATTTGTGGTGAGGCAGCTGAAAGGGAAGTCCCAAATACAAGGCTGAAGTGGCCTGATTTGAAACCATAAGTTTCAAGAAGTCACCTTACCTCAAAGAGACTTTTCAGTGACAACTCAGGGACATGAATATTTTCTGGTAGTCGGTCTTTTTTTGCTGACAACAGAAGAAATGACTGATAGGAGGGAGGAAAAAAGAAAAGGTTGGAGTAATAATGTTCTTCACATAGGTTATCAGAGCATAAAGATTATTTTAAGCCTTAAACAAACAAACAAAAAAACATGCTCTAGCTCTGTCCTTTTTTTGCTGTTGCTAAGCTACCTACCAAGTTTTTAAGCCTAAGTATTAAGAATCAATGTCTTCCTGTTTTTTCTGAAGACTAAGTTCTCTCCATACTTCCTCAATGCCTGCTGAGGACAGGAGCAGCCCATGTCACACAGCACTGCACACAGACAGTATAGTGACAGCAGGGTAAAAAAGTAATTCCCTGCCAAGTTCTTAAAGTATGACCAGAAGACTTGAATCCTTCAGAAATATTACATCCTGATCAATTCTTTAACATACCAGTGTTGCATAAGCCCCAAGTACTTGGGGCCCATTAGACCCTATTGTGTGGTATGGTAGAACCAACTAGTGAGCTGATTGTGCACATCTCTTCCTATCTTGGCTGTGATGAGAGTATTTACACTGTGGAAACTGGCAAATACTACAAATCAGGTTTCTCTCTCTCTTTCTCTTTCTCTCTCTCCCTCCCCCCCCCGCCCACCCACGCCAGAAGGTCAGTTGTTCAACCATGACCTTATGTAAAATCATGAAACCTAACTTCAGAGAATTTAAGCAAATTTTCCAAGGTCAGGCATACTCTGAAACGCCCCTAATGAGATCATCCAGGTATGCCAACAGAATAAATAACTCCAGGCTCTGGTATGACTCACTCTCAATTCCAACCTCCCTCATATATACCCTTGTGAAAAGACTTAGGACTTCAGAAATTGATACTATGGCCTCATCTTTCTCCTAACTTCTTTCAGTTTGGTGTCACTTAAATAAGCACGTGCCCACACTCAACCCAAGATGATACATCTTGGCCTTTGACAGTCCTGATTGCTGGTCTGGCTTTTACGAGATGCCTGTTTCCAGTAATTGAGAATTACCAGGCCCCACTGCAGCCAAAATGTCAGAACTGTGCTCTGGTTTGAACATGAGGTATCCTCCAAAAGCTCATGTGTGAGATGATGCAGGCCTATTTGGAGGTAAAATGATCAGATTATAAGAGATGCAAACTAATTGGTGGGTTAATCTATTTGATGGATTAATAATTTGAATGAACTACTGTAATGCGTGGTAACTCTAGGCAAGTAGGGTGTAGAAAGAATGTCACTGGGAGCATAACTTTGGGGTTTTGTTCCCCCATCCCCTGGCACCTTGTCCTCCCTCTCTGCTTCCTGGCTGCCATGAGCTGAGCAGCTTTCTTACACCATACCTTTCTACAGTGATGTCTGCCTCATCTTGGACCCAGAGCAATGGAGCCAGTCAACCATGAACTGAACCTCTGAAACTGTGAACCCAAACTAAACTTTTCTTCTTCTAAGTTGTTCTTGCTGGGTATTTTGGTTACAGTGACAAAATACTGACTAACACAACCTACTACTTGGGCTGTATTCCTGATGTTTATTGTTTGCATGGAATGATAATCTATTAGAAGCTGCCTGGATCCCATTCTTTCACATCCACCTAGGCCATGGAATTTTATTCATGTCCACCTCACACTGGGAAGAGAGAACCCAGCTCCTTCCTAAGTCTGTATAAATTAGAATTTCTGCTAATGAAGACTAAGACCTCCTAGAGATTTACCTTAGTAGTAGAATCACAGAATTTCAGAACTTTCTAAAAATAAAGCTGGAAAGATCCTTATTGATAGATCTGAGTCCACCCTTTTTATCCAAAGAGAAAAGATCCAAAATGTCATAACAGGGTCCTGGATTTCTGATTTCTTGATCTCCAAGAGTTTAGTCTGCTTTCCTGATCCTTGCTGCCTGCCCTCCTAAGAACTTTTAATACGGAAGTAAGCTTCAAGAGACCATGGCTAAACTTAATGGAGTTTCCCATGAACCCATGAAACTATATGTACAATTATCTGTGAATGCAAAGAGAGTCCCATAGTTTTCATTAGATTTCTACTGGAATTCATGACCTTGCCAAAAATTGAATTTATCTATTCTAAAGTCATCTAACTTGCCTAGATCTAGAGTCCTTAACAGTTTTCCCTTGATTCTGGTAAACTTTCTGGAATGCCCAACTTTAGAAAACCTAACAGCCCCTTCCTAATCAATATCCCAGCCTTGGCCACCTTATTCTCATGAGCACTTACAACCCATCATCAAGGAAAACTACTGTTTGCTGGGCACTTAGCATATATCAGGTATCACAGAACTTCCTAGCTCAGTGCCTAGCACATCAGAAGACTTCAATAAGTATTAGCTAATGTTATTATTAGATACTCTAGTCCATTATTTCTTAATTCTAAAAAAAAAAAAAAAAAAAACTTTAAAGAAAAAGTCTGTATGTTGCAACTTACAAATTAGGAAATGAGGCTCAAAGGGGAAGTAATCAAACCAAAGCAGCAAGTGGAGGATTAGGATTCACGGATACCTACACCCTCATTTAGCAGCTATTCCCTGGTTTTTGCAGACACTTAAAATTATTCAGAAACCCTCTGATCAGCACACAGGTCCTCTGGGGCCCAGAATAGCTGAAGCACAACAAGGAATTATGAAAATGAATGTACAATGTTCACTGTCTTCATCTCACATTACCATTAGCATTCAAACTTTACATCTCTTTGATAACACTGAAGACACAGATCAAGAGGCCAGATTGCCACAGACTAAGTATTTTTACTGTCTTAAAAAAAAGAGAGAGAAATTGGTTAAGATTTCTCAATAACTTTCTATCTTTAACACTATTTCAATTAAAAAGCTACTGACATCAAGATAAACAAATAATACTTCACAATCCCTCAGTGTGAAAAGAAAGAAATAATTTCATCAAAAACATACTTTCCAAGGCTGGAGTGGTGGCTCAGCAGTAGACCGCTTGCCTAGCATGTGCAAGGCCCTGGGTTCAATCCTCAGTACCACATAAAAATAAATAAATAAATAAAAGGTATTGTGTCCAACAACAACTAAAAAATAAATATAAAAAAGTATACTTTCCCCATAAGAGAGCCAGTTCCTTTTACTTACATGCCATAATCCTTTCTTTGCCAACTTTTCTATTACAGATTGCCACACTTCTGTTGAAAATCCAGTAGTGAAAATATGATCAAAGCAGGGCAAAAAGCTCTGCAAAACAATGGAGTCACCTGAAAAAAAATTCCATAGTTGAGAAATGTTAATGTAGACCACACACAGACAAATGGTAATTAAAAATCTTAAAAAGAAAGGCATTTCAAAGTATAAAGTCCTTTATAATTGACTGAAGTGGCAATCATTTTACATTTACCCATAAAATTAATCTCCAAAGAGTCAGGAGGCATAATGTGGGCTAACATCTACTTAGCCTTTCTATTTGCAGGGCCCAGTGATAAATGCTTATATTTAATCTCTCAAACAAACCACTAAGGCAGTGTCTATTTTCTGCACTTACAGAGGAGGAAATGGAAGCTCAAGGGAAGTTACAAAAGTCAATTCCCTTAAGAAAAATGTGACAAATATTATTGTTATCTAACAGATTGAACCTATGATCACTGAAGACAGGTTTCATGGCATATAGTTTAGCTGGTCATGACAAAAACTAAGACTGAAGCTGAGATCTACCAATTCTTCTAGTCAATACACCTTCTTCTAACCTAGTGTCCCATCATCCTAAAGCATTTCATGATCCTCTGCATCACCCCTCTCAAACTCTAGGATGGGAATGACCAAAGGGACAGGCCAAGTGCCAGAATAACATGGCACCTCTTCTGGGGTTATTAAATTCAAGGCATAAATAAACAATTAAACAAACAAACACTGTATGAAAGATTATAAAATTTCCATAAATATATTTCTCAAAATTTCGAAATTTGGACCATACCCTCTAAAATGAAGTACTTTGGTAAAAAAGTATCAGATGTATTTATTGCCCTAAGAAATCCTGTTAACTGCCCCTTCAGGATGGGCAGAACGGAAATCACTCAGGTTATCTTAAGGTACAGTCACCAAAAAGCAGTTGTTTGAATTCCCATAACTGTTGCCTGGCTTCTGACAGGACAACGGCTTTTAAAAGATAAAGAAAAGACAGTGGGGAAGTTCAGAGAATGGGCCAAGCCACTAGATTAGGTGGGAAAAGAGGCCATTTTGCATAAATAAGAATAAAATTATGGCATTTGCTGGTAAATAAACAGAAATGGAGAACATCATGCTAAGTGAAATAAGTCAGACTTAGAAGTCAAGGGTCGAATGCTTTCTCCTATGCAGAAGTTAAAGAAGAAAAAATAAAAGGGGATGAATCCCATGAAGATGGAAGGGGGATTAGTGGAGTAAAGGAAGGAGATTGGGGGTGGGGACAAGGGGAGGAACTATGGAACGAAACTGACCAAACTATGCCATGTACACATATGAATATACCACAGTGAATTCCACCTTTATGTATATCAATAAAGCACCAATTAAAAAAACAATAAAGAAATAGAAGAAAGACCAGTAGAGTAGAGGATGGGGAATAAGGGACAGAGGAAGGGAGGGAAAGTGGAAGTACTGGGGATTGAAATGGAACAAATTATATTTCATGCATGTATGAATTTGTCAAAAATGAACCCACTATTATGTTTAACTATAATTCACTAATAAAACATTATTTTTTTTAACAGAAAGAGGCCAGCTTTGGCCACTGTGAGCAAAGCGGGTACTGGAGAGCTGTGGCTCACCCACACGTGTCTGGAGACCTTGCATTTCTCTGTCTGAGGACCATGGCTGTGCCTGCCTCTAAGCCTTCCCACTGCAACCGTGCTAACCTCTCTGAGCCAACCGAGTCAAAATTCACAGGGTTCCACAAACAGATCATATAATTTGCTTTCCCATAATAACAATGGGAACAGTTGAATTGATAACAGTTGACTCAACTATTAGTGATTTCCCACTTCTGAAAGCCAAAGACCATTTCTCAGTAACTCTAATACGTACTTTTTTTCACATTCTATACTATGAAATAGGGACATGTCTACAACTGATGTTTCTCACTGGCAAACCATAAATTAATGACACATCTTAAATCAGTGCAATTTAAATTTGATCAAATACAATACTTCAAAACAAAGACCTGGATATTGGCAGGACTTGATAGTACACCATCTCATTGTGCTTACAGGCTTCTGGTTTTGCGTAAACTACACACTGACCAAGGCATCTCACAGGCCAGGTCATCAGAGTGGTGATCTAATGCAGAGATTCAGAAGGTTCCCCTAGGAGTCCCTCCTAGATTGAGTGGGTGGGTCCTCTGCTGAAACCACTACTGTACCAGGCAGGGAGCTTTTCCAGGACCATCCATCAAGCCTTCCAGGTTATTTTCATAGCAAATAAGAGTATTTTCTTAACAGATTTGAGAAATACATGCAAAAATCACATAAGACAAATGATATATAACGGAAGCTTTGTTGGCTCATGTCTCTAAAAACAAGGAAATCATACACACAGAGAGAGAGAGAGAGAGAGAGAGAGAGAGAGAGAGAGAGAGAAATCACTATAAATAGCAACACAGAAAACTTATAGGGTCTGAAAAAAAATTCAAAAGCCTGAAGTCATTTGTATATTAGTACTTCCTTGTTTTTACATAAGCATGAGCCAGCAAAGCTTCCAAAATGCTTTCTAATGTGCAAACCAGTTTCATTCAAATTACATACTTCGACCATGAAGAAACAACATGGAATTATCTCACCACAAGGCTCTCAAATAAAATAATGATGATCTTTTTTGGGGGGGTAGATGGACACAATACAATGCCTTTATTTTTATGTGGTGCTGAGAATCGAACCCGGGTCCTGCCTGTGCTAAGTGAGCGCTCTACCTCTGAGCCACAATCCCAACCCCAGCAGTGATTTTTTTTTTTAAGTTAATTCCCCCAGTGTGACTTACTGCTCATGGTGGTGAAGACACCAACAAGGAAATCAGCAATCTGTGCTTGATCTTGGCCACTTTGCAGAAGTCGAAGACCCTCGAAAAACATGCGGGCTGCTTCATAAGGCTGGAGCAATCGCAGCAAGGAATAACCAGCTCGGTAGTACCCCTGGAGCAGGAAAAAAGAGCAAAATTATAATGTCCCCATCTCCTCTAACCTGCTGCTGAAAGGAAAGGCAAGACTGGTGATACGGGAGAATCAACTCAGAACCCTCATTTCCAGGCAGACACAGGTTTCTAACAAGCACAGGTTACAGGGTTTCCACATTATATTCTGTGCCACATTCTTTCTATCATGTTGTAACTGCCAAACGAATACATAATCACAGTTCGACTCTATAATGTACACAGCATCTAACATGTGACACAGAGAGAAGGAAGCAGGCCTGGTTCCAATTATATGTGTGGCTTATTATTCATACTTCTAATCACAGTCTGGGCCAGACAAAGGAATGAAAAAAATCCCATGACTGGTATTCAGGAAAAGAATGAGATTTTCATGTAAACACAGAAAATGTTTCCTGATTCTTTCAATCAAAATAAACACAATCTCTACTAGGTATTTAAGAAAAAAAATTGTAATGGCAAGCATTGAGGTTTACTGTGCTCTGTGTTATAAGCAATATATATAAGAGGGCAAAAATTTTGATTTCTATAAAGATTAATTTTAAAAAAAGTCTAGTTTTGCCTATATACTAATTGAAAGACTCTAAATTAGGAATAACATTGCCTTCCCCATTTTGATCATCCAAATCAGTATCAGGATCTATCAATACAGCTTTCTAAGATAATATACTAAGTGTTTACAAACTAGGTTCATAAAAGGGAAAGCACTTAAAAATTTCAACTAACACCAAATCTCTGATTGTTTTTTATTTGTTTTAATCTTCATTTTAAAGTTTAGCCAGGCATGGTGGTGCACATCTGTAATCCCAGCAACTTGGAAGCTAAGGCAGGAAAATTACAAGTTCAAAGCCAATCTCAGCAATTTAGCATGGCCCTGTCTCTAAATAAGATATAAAAAAGGGCTGGGGATGTGGCTCAGTGGTTAAGCACCCCTGGGTTAAATCTCTGGTACCAAAAAGAAAGAAAAAAGAGAGTTTAAGGATCTCAGGTTAACAGTCAAAAAAAAAAAGAGAGACAGAGAGAGAAAGAGAAAAGAAAAAAAATGTGTTTGTTGTTTGTACTATACCCCAACCAGGCAAGCTGGTACAGATTTTTCCATTTCTTTGACTCTCAGATTTAAATTTCATTTTTTATTTTGAAGAGAGGTGAAGGGAATCTGAATATGCCACCTTGGCATATAGATTATTTTAAACTGAAGGAATTTAAGATTCAGCAGATGCAACAAGAAGCCTTCCCAGAGTTTAATTGACTAAATGCAAAAATTCCTAAGAAATATTTTACCAGAAAAGTTGTATGATCATGAGAAAGAAAGAAAGTTGGTTCTAAAATGGACCTGCAAAAACCTTGCTAAGAATGTCCTTACCTTCCATTTGTTTCTCCATATATCAACCTTCCCACAGGTCACAGCCCTAAAAGTTCTTTTCCTTTGTCTTTCCATATCTACACAATTTATTACTTTGTTGAAAATTACATATACATTTTTGGCCTATCCCGGTGTTTGGGGTGTTTACTTCTTTTCTATAAAGGTCCTCATGTCACACAAAAATCAGCATCAAAAATAAATTTATATGCTTTCCTTCTGGTAAACTGTTTCTTATCAGTGTTGTTTATAGGGGCCCAACTATTGTACCAAAAATAGGCAGAGAAGAAAAATTTTTTCCTCTCCTATAGACAACAATGGAAATGGGGAGCAGAGGACAATGACACACAGAATCCCTGCATAAGAAGGGAGGAGTGGCCCTGGTGGCTGTGCTGTCAAGAGTTGTAAGTTTGGCCACTCAAGGAAGAAGCCTGGAGTATCATTTAGCACCGCTTGCCCCTTGGGCCACAGTCACAACTTCTGAGATGCAGACAAACATCAACTAACCCTGTCCTGCTTAGAAAATGAGACAATTCTGAAATGCTTTGGGGAAGAGTTTCTCAGGACTGTACTCCCATTTGTTTATTTTTTATTTTTAGTTGTAGATGGACACAATATCTTTATTTATTCATTTATTTTTATGTGGTGCTGAGGATTGAACTCAGTGCCTCTCACTTGTGAGGCAAGTACCTTACCACTGAGCCACAACCCCAGACCTGCACTCTCATTTTTTTAAGAAATTTTTTTATTAAATATTCATTTTTTTAGTTTTAGGTGGGCACTATATCTTTGTTTTATTTTTATGTGGTGCTGAGGATCGAACCCAGTGCCTCATGCATGCTACGCCAGCACTCTACCACTGGGCCACAACCCTAGCCCCATTTAAAATTAGTCAGTGACTTTCAAAATATCCACCCTCCAGGCTGGGGGTGTGGCTCAGTGGTACAGAGTGCTTTCCAGGCATGCATTAGACCATAGGTATGAACCCCGGAACTGCAGGGAAAAAAAGAAGTATTCATTCTCCAAAAGAGAGGCTTAGGGGTCAGTGCCTACTTACAATGTAAAATATCCACACTCCTCTCTCAGGGTGGTAGTAATCACTAGGCCTAGCCCTCCCCACCCCTTTTCACTTCAGTCTACTTCCAGCAATCATACACAAATGCCACTAAGGATATAACAATAGCTCCTACTCACTAAGTGCTAACAACTTTGGTTACTGTCTCCTTAATCCTTGAAGCAACACATAAGCATTATCTTAGTTTGCAGTGGAAGAAATTAAGGCTGAGAGAAGTGTAATTCAGCCAATCTGCTGAAACCAGAACACTGTAGAACATGAGACAGAAAGGCCTAGGCTTTTCCCACTTTATGGTGGAGCCTCTCTAAAAACTGTCTAGACCACTAATTTGACATTTAATTGCCATTTGCTTCAGATAGCTCCAGAATTGCTATTTGATTTAAATCCTGTTATTTTATTTGCACCAGAATTCCTCTTGCCAACTTGAATGTTAAATACTAAATGGCTGGGATGGTGTCCTCTGCTCCTTTTGTCTGCCTTGAGGCATCAAGAACCTGTGTACCTGCCTTGATGAGTGGGCACTAGGGCTGGGAATGCAGTCCAGTGGTAGGGTACTTGCCTAGCATGCATGAGGCTCTGAGTTCAATCCCCAGCACTGTAACAACAAGCCCCTCCCCCCCCCCAAAAAAAAGTGGACACTTAGGGCATTTTAACTGAAATGCAGCCTCTCAAACTTCCATGATTTCTCCTCAAAGAGCTGATTTCTACACTAAGAAATTCTCTCTGAAGAACTGGCATGTCATCTACCCAGCTTGCATCTGAAAGAAAGCCTGGCTATAATAAAACTTATGAACAGCAAAAAACATGAACAGATTAGGAGTATTGGTATAACTATATAAGAATAATATGAGCTCCTCCAAAATCTCACTATCCTCCAGATGCCAGGAGGCCAAGCTCCACTGTCCCAAAATAGTGAATTATTTGCTAACACTGGTTTTACTCTTTTCCAGGTAATGTTCACCTGCCCTATGGGCCACTGTCTTAAGTACAAAAAAAATTGCAGGAGAAGCACACCTAGCATGTACATTTTACAAAGAAAGGAGGGAGGAGAAAGCATGAGAACAAAGGAAATTTAAAATGTATAAAAGGGGCCGGATACTCCCACTTCTCAGACACCCAGCTCTGGGGCCCCTCTCTTCAGAGAAGTCTCTCTCTGTTCTATTCTTTAAATAAAACTAGCTTTCTATGCTTAAAAAAAAAAAAAAGACAGGAGGAAAAGAGGCAGGTTAAGAGGAAGAGGGCAGCAGCCACCACCCAAAGCTGCCACCAACCCATACCTTCACATAGGTTGGATCCCACTGAAGACACTCCTTGGCAGCAAGAAAAGCCTCATTCCATTTCCCAAGACTGTAAAATGCATTGGACTTGTTGCACAGCAGCACAGCCAAGTCCCTGGGGGGGACCCTGTGAGAAAGAACAAAATGGTGGTCAATAAAGCAAACATGGGAAACAATCCTTGAAGGCCACCCTGGCATCAGGAAGAGGGTTCCAGCAGGAAATGTCTCAATTATACCCATCAGATCTGTCCTCTGTAGCCCCCTAGAAAGCCTAGAGCATTTACAATGTACAAATTTGTTCTTCCTCACTTCCAAGTTCTCTGCTCCCACCTTCTAATGGCAAATGTTCTCATTACCTTAGTTCCATCTCCCACTGATCTCCACAAATCTTTTTATTTTTCAGAGATTGTTGGAGAAGATGTTATAAAAATGGTGACTGGTGCTAAGGAGGGGAGTTCCCACTGGGCCTTTACAGGAACCACTCCACACAGATGCTGGTGCTGAATGGATGCAGAGTGATACACAGGAAGGATCTTGCAGAATACATGACCATACCATAGGCTGCAGATTAAAGACTCCCGCAGGCCCTGGGAGCAGGGTCCTGCTAATCACAGTGTGGACAAAGGGGAGGCAAAGGCTCTGGGTGAGTGAAGCCCCAACCCCACAGACTCCTGCCTGTAGGAAGGGTCACAGCTGGAGGATGGCCAAAGGGGGGGGGGGCCTCTAAAGCACAGCAGGGAACCCCTCTTGCCTGAGTCTATTGGTAGTACAGTAGCAAGGTTAGAACTGAAACCAGGTTGGAAGAAGTAACATACAAAATATACTACAGTGTCAAGAGAAGTCCAAGTGCCACTGAAATGTAAAACACACAAAGGAGAAAAGCAAGACTTACGACTTTTGTATTTGATATTTTAATTGTGAAACAATACAAATCACTGTAGAAAAGTTAGGTAATACAAACAAAAATAAAGTAAAAATCACCTTTATTACTGTCCCCACCCTTGGTTTTCTGTATATCTGGCTTATTTCACTGCCTATGAGTTCCTTCAGATGAAGGGATAAGACTCAGAAGGCAGGAACTGGCAAAGCAGGTAGCAGGTGTTATCAGGATACCCATGACCACAAACGTAAGTGATACCATGGTGACTTTTCCAGACATGTGTAACCATTTCCAGCTGCAGCAACTGTTGGCTCCATCTAGGGGCTCTCAGAACTCCCTTCTCCAGTGACCTACCCTCTGATTAACAAAAGCTGCCCTCTCCCAGGAAGTTACACCATGCTACAGACTGAATTATGCCCCCCACAATTCATATGTTGAAGCCCTAATCCCCTACTGTTACTATTTTAGAGATATGACCTTTGGGAGGTAATTATGTTTACATGAGGTAATGAGGGTGGGGCCCTCATAACAAGACTAGTGTCCCTGTAAGAAGAGACACTAGAGAGCATACTTGCTCTCTTCTCTATCTGCCATGTAAGGACACAGGAAGAAGGCAGCTACCTATAAGCCAGGAAGAGAGCCTTCATAGGGGAACCAAATCATCTAGCACCTTGAATGTCCAGCCTACAAAACTATGAGAAATAAATTCGCTTTGTTTAAGCCACCCAGTCTACAGTATTTTGTTATGGCAGTCCACTCCCTAGGACAACCCCCAGAGGCTGGACAGCCTACAATTACTGACATGGCAATGAAAAGGTTAGCTCTCTGGTTTGAAAGTGGAACCAGCTCTATGGTAGAATTCATGCTTCAGAATTTCCAGTGCAATCAGGCTGAATCCACCCTGAAAGTACCATCCCTGCTTGGAGCTCTAACCTGCCCCAGCCTGCTTCCCTGGGTCCGATTCTCCTGAGAGGACTCCCTCAGAAAATCGCACACACCTAATCCCTATGTTTGCTAACAAAGGCAGGAAAGCAAGCAGCCGGGAGTAGGCAAGGGCATAGTGTCAGGAAGGTTTGGCAGCATGTGAGGACTGAGGCAGAAGTCCCAATTAGTGGTCACAAAAGTAGTGGAGGAGCTAAGATCTAAGCACAAACAGTGTGGAATCAGTGTACCATCAAAACCACTCTGCAACAGTACCTCATTAGGAAATTTGAATGTTTTATACTAAATGAGGAGTTCTAGGCCCAGTCTTACACAGTCCTGATCTATATACCAGGCTAAAACAGAACAAGAGAAGCTACAGGCATAAATCAATCACACTCAACTCAAGTTCATTTAGAGTTCAGACACCAAGGATGATAGAAAAAGGAGGTGAGAGCTATGTTTCAGTAATTTAATTCACAGGACATAATTAGACTGTGTATACCCCACAGATGCCAACTTCTGCTGCCTCTATTACAGCCATTTCCCCCAAAATGATCTCCAAATCTCTGAGGGTCATAAGACCATTTCATTCCAGATGGTTCACAAAGTCAAAATATTTTCACCATCATAGTAGGCCAAACAATGGCTCCCAAATATAACCTTTTACAGCAAAAAGGATTCTGCAGTTATGACAAATTTATGGATCTTGAGAAGGAAGATAATCTTGGACTTTGATACAATCACAAGGATCTTTAGGAGTGGGAGACAAAGTGAGACACTACTACAGGAAAGGAGAAGGCACTATGATGATGGGCACAGAGATTGGAACAATGAGCTTTGATAATGGAAGGGGACAAAACCCAAGGAATACAGATAAACACTAAAAGATATAAAAGCAAGAAAGTGGATTCTCCTCTGAGTCCCACAAAGCAGCCACCCTGATAAAACTTTGATTTTAGCCCCACAAAATTCATTTCAGACTTCTGACCTTCAGAAATGTAAAAGAAAAATATGTACTGTTTTAAACTACCAAGTTCATGGTAATTTGTTACAGCAACATCAGGAAATAACAGAACAATAATACTAAAACACTATAAACCTTTTTCACACTTAGTCTCTCCCAGCATACAAGGAATTTTCTAGAGGCTACATAATGTGATATCAAAACAAAATGAATGCAGAAACAGGTGAAGAAGCAAACTATCTTTTACTAAGGTAAATGCTCAGGAAATATGCAAAAATGTGCCACTCTTCTCACAAAACTTTTGTTTTGAAAAACGTACGTATTTTTCATAAAAACATAATAGACTTGGGGTATTTTTAATAAATTAAAAAATACATATTTTAAATCTTTCTCAGTTTTAAGTTTTAATTTGGGTTAACAGATGGCTATAACCTACATAAACAAAGGCTGTTTGGAGTCCTCAATAATTTCTCATCCTGTCATGACTATAGTGTTTGAGAACAGGTCTCCTAAAGCTGAAGGGGCAAGGAAAGCAAGAGTAAGCCTTGGTGCCTGGAAGGTGTGCCCCTGTGGTCAGGGGTAAAGGGCAAGAACATCAAGAAGATGAAAGAAAGAGGGGACTTCAGCTGTCCCAGAAAGTGCGATCCCTTAACCAGACAGAAGTAGAAGCTCTTGTTATGTTTATCAACAACCCTCTGTGTTTCAGTTTCTGTTTCCCTTTTTCCACTAACATTCTCATTCAATTTCTGTGCTGACAATGTATAGGAAGTGAGGGAGAAAGGAAACAGAAACAAGATGGTGCAGTAAGAAATGAGAAGAAAACATAAACAACAGAGTATTCATTTATTTTTTTTAAGTGGATATAAAATCCAAATACTTACCCCCATTGGTATAACTGCAGGAGAATCTGGATGGCTTCATCGTACTTTCTGATGGCCAAAGAGAAGTTCCCATTCTTAAGAACCTGGTTGCCAGATTCTTTCAATAGCTCAGCATAAGCTGCTGGGTCCATCCTGTAGGGGACGAGGAAAGGCTTGCTGCCCGTGTAAGGCAAGTTCACCTTCACATTTGTATTGCCCAGAGCCTGGAGGAGTTTGTTCATTCTTGCCCCACCCACCTTCAGAGACCACACCCTGGTAACACTTCTCACCAGCACTGGGGCTCAGACAGGGCTTCTGAGAAGAACTTTTCCTTCTCAGTTCTTTTCTGACGTTGGGGCCAGCCAGAACACTTCATTTATTCGGTATTAATGATCTACTGGAGGCTGCTTTCATGCATGGGACAACATAAAACTGGCAGGTAGTGAGCACTATTCCTGCAACTGGTACCATGATTATTCTCTTGTTTACCCATCACCAAAGCCCATAAGGAGGTACTATCCCCACTGTTCAGATGAGGAAACTGAAACCCAAACAGGCTCAAGTCACTTTCCTAAGAATCTACTATGGCATTTCCCAGTTCTGATCCCAGATCCGAACAATTTCAAGCTTCTGTCCTTGGTCACTGTACCACATCAATAAGCAAGACCCCATTGACAGTCTTTCTGCCCTCTTAGTAAAATGCAGAAGGCAGGTGTAGTTCTGAAGGCCTCTTATTTCTCCTGCCCCACTTCCTTCTTAAAACACTATAAAAAGAGCATTGAAGTGTTTGTACCTGAAGTTGCCACTGCTTGCTTACTTATACAAATCTCTCAAGGGTACCTGCCTCTTTTGGGTCATAATTTCTGTCTTATTCATTTTTGTGGCTCTATGACCTAACACATAAGGGTACTTAAATGTTGTGGTGTAAAAGTTTGAATGCCAGACCCATAAAGAAGGCACATTACTGATTTTCTTGGGTGTGGCCAAGGGGTTGGAAAGAAGTACCTGGCAGCCCTGACCACATGCTGGGACTCAGTAGAGGCGGAACAAAGGCAGGAAAGCAGAGTTTCCAAGAATGCATCTAGAAGCAGCTTCCAAGGAGACAGGAAAAAGGAAGAGGTCAAAAGAGATGTCCCCTAGGATTTCCCTCTCTCAGGATCACAGTGGACAAGGCAAAGCAGAAGGGAGGGCCTTAAATGGGAGGACAATATAGGCATTCATGCAGAGCATGTACCAATGAGGTTATAAAAATCTAGAGGGTATCTTGTTGATCAATTCAATTCTTGAACAGATAATATTCCTTATAGTCTTTATCATTTCAAATTTCAGCAGAGCATTAGGAAAAGCAGCAAGACCAAGCAGATATACGTTGTGGCTTACTTTAAGCACATCCAAGCTCGTTGGGAGTGGGTTTTTGAACTGTACTGCATTCCTTAGGCAGCGCTTTTTCAGAATGAGGCATGACTCCTAAATAAGTCAGAATACAAAATTCTACATATACTTTCAATCCAATAATCTCTAAATTATATGACACATTTACACAGAGATGACTGAGGAAAATATGAGAAAAACATAAGGCACTGATTTGCTAGGGAATAGACATGTTTCTCTAATACTGTTAGCCATTTGTCCAATAGAAAGTCTTTAAACTGGCCACGATTAGAAAACAAGAACAAGGAAATCACTGTGACAACTGACAAAGGGACAATACCTGTCCATTGCAAGAAAAGACCAATATTCTGACCAACATATGTAAGGGTCCAAAACAGTGGATAAGTAGGATTACCCTCACTACTAAGTAAAGAAATAGAAAATTAAACAAAGTAACATTGGAAAATAATGAAAAGAATGATCCCAAGTGATGAGGCACTGCTTACAGAAGAAATATACTATGTCATAAATAGATTCAACTCCACGGATGTTCACCATGGTGAAAAACTGATCCATAGTACATAATGGATTTAAATCAGTAAATACACATACAGTAGAAAGCCATATATTTATTTTAAAAATCATATTATAAAAGGACATTTACTGATAAAGTTAGTAAATGAAAAATACAAGCTATATGTAAAAAGTGTGTGACGTCAAATTATTATTTTTTTAAAGAGAGAGAGAAAATTTTTAATATTTATTTTTTAGTTTTTCAGTGGACACAACATCTTTATTTTATTTTTATGTGTGCTGAGGATCGAACCCAGTGCCCCAAGCATGCCAGGTGAGCACGCTACCGCTTGAGCCATATCCCCAGCCCATCAAATTAAAATTTAAATATATTTAAAATATACTTAATGTAATAAAATATACTGAAATATGCCACAATGTTAACAGCCAGGCCATTGTGATTAGGCAGGGTTTTAATTCTCTTCCTTATATTTTTCTGGATTTCCAATTGCTGTGCAATGTATCACCTTAATAATCATAAATGTTATTAAAATGAAACTTTTTAAGGGTCTAATTGAAAATTTAAACATAAAATGCTTCTACTGTATTTGCAAATAACAATAAAAGCTATTCACTTCAAAATTTTTTCTTACCCCTTTAGAAAACCAACATGAGCACTAAATGTTATGTAGGCAAATATCTAAGGTATTCATTCACCTGTTTCTGCTTTTCCTTGGTACACTCATGCCAAGAGGATAGGAGGAATGCCAACCACTAAAAAGGCTTTTTGCTTCCCAATAGGATTCCTTGAAAATTATGTTCTCATTATAAGGAAGAATATCTCCACCACAGAAGACAGACAGCTCAATTGTTGGGTCTTTTGATTCTTTTTAAAATCACTGGCAGTCAATTTGTAATATAAAATTATTAAATGAAAGTGACAATAATTTACTATAATGAGAATACTTTTGAGAGCTAGTATGTACCCACTGTGTGCTTTACATTATTGTGTCTTTCATTCTTACCCCAGGTAGGCATGTTCGCATCACTGTTTTATATGTAAGGGAACTGAGGCAAAAAGAAGTTAAGCTACTTGGCACATTCACATGGGAAAGTGGCAGTTCTGGAATTTAAACAAGAACTAAGAACTACACTCTGACAGGCCAGGACAGAAACTAAAATGTTAGCATCCAGTAAAATCACTGTAGTATATGATAGTTGGGGCTGGTACCAAGCATTTATTCCCCTATGCTTTCAGTTTTATTAATGATGCAAAAGCTACATGATACATAAAGACAGTTTCACAGCTGCACTACTGGCTTTTGGTCAGTGTTACAACGTGGCTATGAGAGTTCAAAGTCTAGTTGTTGGAAAGTGTCACAGGCTGCCTCACTAAGTTGAGGAAGCAAAAGCAAGAAAAATGCAAATGTACTTAGTAGATTTTGAAACAAGCAAGTCTGAAACACAGAAGAATCAAGAAGTTATGGCTTTTTATTACTGTGTATATATGCTGTATATATATACATGAACTTCTATAACTGAGTTATTGGAATAGAGCAAAGATTACAAGTGGTGGCGTTCCTGGGGAGCTGAGATGGGCAGAAGGATTTGTCTTCATATCTTTTCCAGATACTAGTAGAATTCTTGACAATAAAGGGATTAAAAATGTACCATCTCAAAACATGCCAAATTTGTATATTGGTTATTTCAGACTGCAATCATTTGAAGATCTGTAATTGTAGAAAGGCCATATGACCTGGTCTTCCCTCATGCAGCAAGCCATGGAGATTCTTTCAGGAGGAATGCCCTTCACATACCAAGGCTGGAAAAGAACCATGATCACCATATACTAGTAACTGGGGCTGCAATGAACCCGAGTAAACAAACTTTAATCTTTATCCTTCACTAGCTTCTCCATCTTCCTCCCACACATATCTCTTGGTAACACCCTTTGAATTTACTGCTCTAGTCCAGATATCCATTTGTCCTGTCATTCCTTCACAGATTTATTATTCTTTGTCTGAAATATATAAAAGCATCATGCTTTGGTCATTTCTTTGAACTTCACTCCTATGTACACGTAAAACTAATAGAACTTTTGTGCTTTTCACATGATAATCAGTTCTTATTTTAACTGAATTCCTAAATCCAGCCAAGGAATCCATAGAAGCACTAAGGGAGTTCTTAAGCAGACTCCCCTCTTTGCCAAAAAAATTGCTTACTTTTTTTGGTGCCCTTCTTTTTTTAAATCTAAAGACTCCCAAAGCAGTCAATGATCCATTATCAGTTCTGGAATGCTGGGTGAGAGACAATTCTCACTGAATTCAAAGACAGTTCCTCTTAAAACTGAGTATTTCCTTTTCCCCAGACAGGGGGCCATAGACAGTTCAAATTAAGAATCCAAACTAAGAACTCATTCTGAGGATTCCAATTTATTTTCTTTGCTTTCTTTTCCCCCCACATAAGGGAAAGGATACAAATGTGGGAGGAGAAGAGTAGGGATTTTCTTAAGAAACTCATTCAAAATCTTTCAGAGGCTTCTGGATAAGTAAGGTGCTATTCCAAAGCCTTTCCTCTTCACCTTGCCACCAGGCCTCAGCAGTCTCACTGCCTGCCCCAACCCATCAAAACTCAGTTAAGTGGCCTCCAAAAACTGACAGCTGTTCCATTCTAGCTGGTCTCCTTTGTCTATCAACTTCAAATGATTCCTCCTTAATATACACAGCCTCATCCACACCCAACTACATATACATCAAAGACAAGATGATGATTCTAAAACCAGTTGACTAGTCCAGCTCTGAACTGTCCTGAACTTTGCATCCTATGAGTCATACTTCCAGTAAAAAGAAAGCACCATAAATAAATACCTCCCTCATATGCAGGATCTCTTGACTTTCTAAACCTACATGCCTCTTCTGGTGAAATCTCAGACACTCACTGAACACATGTGCTTCCCGGTAGGGTCTGTATCTTTCAGAATGCTGCAGCCCTGGAAATTATACAGTGCCTAACCTATGCTAGGCACTGTGCTGCATATCAGAAGTTTGAAGGTAAAAGAATAGCTACTATCCCCAGGGAGAAAAACATTAAATAAATAATTATGAGAATATTAAATAGATTTTTCTTCTAACAAAGAAAAAGTCAAGGTTATAAGAAATCATATAACAGAAAAACAGCTTAGTTTCTAGGGGTCAAAATGCAAGATTGCCTCTCTTGGAATTGACTTTTAAAGCCAAAATTCTAGAAGAGCAGTAATCCCAGCGAAGGGT